CCTCCTAAAGGTTTTATTTAGGAGGCTGTAAATTGCATGGGAGAAGATTGCCAGCCTTTTGTAGAGCAGTGGGTGGATTTGAACCAGCACAGAGGCTGGGCCATTGGATTAGCAGCGCAGCTTCCTGCAGACTATGTCACCAAGGCTCCCTTTACTTCAGGAGTTAACTTCTTCCTGGCTCCAGTCTCCTCACTGCCCATGGATTCACTTTCGAGGGGGATATTCTTCCTCTTAGCTAGGTCTTGCGCACCAGGAGCGAGCCGGGTCCGCAGCGCTCTTTGGGAGCTGGCTGGAAGAACTCAACAACTTGTTTTTTAAACAAAATAGTCCTGCATTTTATTTTCATTAACATGCTCACATATATTTGCTATTTCAGTGTAATGTATTAGTCTAAGAAATATTAAAACAAAGATAATCTTAAAGTACAATCTTTGTTTAGTATGCATCTAACTACAACAATAAAAACAGTAAATAGGAAGAGAGTTCTGGCAGCACAGTGGATAAGGGGTGCAATCCTAAAGCAGGTGATTCAAAATCACCAGCTACTCTAACAGAACAATTATTCTCTCAAGCACTTTACAGCCCTGAAAACCTACTGGCAAGTCGGACTATTCTGACTCGCTAGTAATTAGTGAGTGATATTATAAATAGGAATCAAGACATCCATAAATCTTCAGTAAGAATTTGGGGAAGACAACCCATGTTACCAAGAGAAGAATGCTTCAAAGTATTGTTCAAAAAGGAAAAAAAATTACTTTCTTGATCCAAACCTCAACAACTTGCTATCTTTCTAATGGAAATAGTTTTAAAATTTGTGAATGTTATTTTCTATACAAAACTCAAAATGCTTAAATTTTGTGTGTTTGGGGTTCTTAGCTTTGACTTTCCTGTGGATTATAATCTACAAGGAACTCTGGTGTCTTTTTTTGCTGTTGTTACGTGGTGTAGAGTTGAGCACAATTTATATGGAGCCTATCAATGACTAATCTGAAACCTACCCTATCCTGTGCCTTTCTCATCCTCTCTGAGATCAATGAGCCCATTACAACGTCACTTTGTTAACCCATCTTGTCCAGGGGCTTCCTCTTGTATGCTGACTTCCACCTTTCCCAGCATGATGTCCTTCTCCAAGGCCGGGGCCGTCTGAACAACATACCTACAGTTTGTCATAGTAGTTTCACCATCTTTGCTTTTTCAATGAGCACTCTGGATTCACTTTCACCAATATAGACTGGAGCCTAGAGTTGTTCTTACACAGCAAATTAAAAAGATGAGAGAAATGAATTGTCGATTTTACAGGAAATAACTAAGGCAATGACTACATTTTGTGTGTGAGTATACCAATTAAAATAATTATATAAAGACTTCATTAAAGCCAATTTAAAGTTTATAAAGTTGGAGTAATAACAATAAAGCTCATTTGGAAGTATACCTCCAAACTTTAGGTAAGCAATGATCATAATAATATTTTCGATTTTTTGTTGTTGTGTACCATCAAGTTGGAGTGCACCCATAGTTGACCATTCAGCGTGTTTTCAGAGGCAGTAATTGCATGGGAGGAGATTGCCTATCCTTGTCGTGCAGAGCAGGTTGCAAATTTGAACCGTGTGCCTTTGGGATTGTAGCACAGATTCTTACCACTAGGTCACCAGAGCTCCCTTATATTTTGTTGTTGTTGTGTGCCATTGAGTGGCCTGTAACTCATAGTGACCCTATGTACAATAGCTCTGAACTTTGCCCTATCCTAAGCCAGTCTCACTGACTCGAACACACCTACCCCGATTACCTGTTACTATGCCAGTCCATCTCATCTGGGTCTTCTTCTCTTGCTCAATCCCTCCACCTTTCCAAGCATGATGGCTTTCTCTCCAGGGACTGGTCCCTCCTGGTAACATGTCCAAAGTATGTAAGACAGAGCTTCAAAATATTTGCTTCCAAGGAGGAACTTGGTTTCACCCTCTCTAAGACAGACCTGTTTATTCTGTTAATGGTCCATGGAATGTTCAATATTCTTCTCCAGCTCCACAACTCAATGACATCAATTCTTCTGTCATCCTTAGTCATTATCCAGTTTCCTACACTCTATTTCCCTGACTACCTACAATCTATTTATTTCCCTGACTATTAAATTTATGTTTTTATGTGACATTGAGTTGGAACCAACTCATAGCTGACCTTTCCTTCCATGGGTTTTTAGAGACTGTAAATCCTACAAAAGAGATTGTGTATATTTCCTCCAGTAGAACAGCTGATAGATTAGCACTGTCTACATTTGGGTTTTCTTAGTGGTTAGAAATCACATTGTCAATGGAAAAGTACACAGTGTGAATCCATCAGCTACTTTAAGACAGAAAGATGAGCAATCTCCTGTGGAATTTATTGTCTCTGTATGCCCACTGGAGGGTCAGCCAGGTGTGGTTCCAACTGTTCTGTGCACAACAACCACCTTTTGGTTGGCGCTCTTCTCTGTACCAGTTAGTAGGCCACCATAAGGTTGCAGTAGCTCCATGGAAGAAAGGGTTGGCAATCTCACTCACTAAAGATTGTTTTTATTTTGTAACTACAGAACAATCTCACTGATTTCACATGCAAGCAAGATTTTACTGAAGATTATCCAAAAACGACTGGAACACCACA